ATATATATATATATATATAAATTAATTATTGTTGTTAATTGGTGCAAATAACGATAAAATTAATGGAAACGTTTTAACGAATGCTCGTTATGTGTTATAAAATAAAGACTGAAGGACTAATGGTGTGACACTTGGCAATATTTGTCACTGAATAATATACATTATTGAATATTTAGCAATATTATCTCGAAGGCATCCTTTGATAAACAAGATCGTAATATTTCCTTGAAGCAAGGCGATGTGTAATTCTCTCCGAGACTTAATCTAGCATACATAGTGGTTATAAAGATAACGTCGGTGATATCGCGATTAAATTACAATATGCAGACACATATTAAAGCTGTCTAGACCCTTTAATCATCTTGAAAATACACCTGCATTTGATTTTGTTATTTAATAAGTGATGATGTGTGTGTGATTCGCAAACAATGTTCGACAATATTAATCATAAATATTTTTTGCATTTTAGCACAATTTATATTCGTTTTTTATCTTTTATCATTTCTCAGACATATTTATTGTGCAATATTGAATTTTCAATAATCTTTGGTTATTTTTATAGAATCATAAATTATGTATACATGTATTTTTTAATCTATTTATATATTCATCTTCGCACATTTTATCTTTTTTATTATTATATCTTATAAGAAGAAAGTATGATACACATAAAATGTGACACCTAATGTTATCATGATTGTTCGCCAACTTTGCTCTATTCTTCCTTTGTTCGTTTTTATATTATCTAATCTTGTCTGAAAATCGTTGAATTAATAAAAGTGACAAGTTTTGAGTTCACTTGCACTTGCAACGTTACGACAAATATCTTTTACCTTGTAACCATTTTGAAAATATTGCTGGAGCATTACATTTAAACCTTTAACGGTCTGAGCTTTACTTAACGAAAATATAAAATTTTTTTTATCTATAATAAGATTGGAAACAAGACGTCCGTTTATGTGAGAATCATCATCTAAATATGAGAAGCGTCATTTTTTTTCGGTCAAAATTAGGTGTTAAACTAATACATGTATATGTATTCTTTAAATGAATACATATTTTTTATCCCTTTACGTTGTTCTATTATATGCTTTGAAATAAATAGTATCTATTAAATTTTGCAAAGCAAAGAGCTGCAACTTTTCATCCGGGAACCTTCTGTAATCTATAGTAGTTTATTTAAATGCTTAAATCTCTCAAAAGCGGAATTATAATTAGAATTTCTGACTGAGATTTTTGCTTACAAAAGCAAAACTTCAGTGCATTATTATTTAAAAGCGAGTTATTACCTCACTTTGCGAGCACTGCAACTATTTACAATAAAGTACTTACAGTATAAGTAAAAACAAAGGTCACAGTCCTACATTTAAAAAATGTTTAAAAAGTCTAAGCTGTTATACGTTGTATTATAATTTAATCATTGCGATAGTATCGACTTTATTCTTATCAGTTATCTTAATTACTTTATATGTTAGATTACGGAAATAAAAAGCTTTTAAACTTATATATCAATTTTCTTTTGAATATATTTTTTAGATAACATTGAAAATGAAGTAATAACTCGTTTCTAAATAATAATATACTGAAGTATTTTTTTTGTAACAAAAATTTCAGTAAGAAATTCTGTCTATAATTCCCGTTATCGTTAGAATAAATTGAAAATTTTCTCAAACGTACTACCGATGATCAATCTCGTCTTCTTCTTTTCAGGTTTATGGGAGTATGCGTGCACGAGGGTCAGCTGCATGCGTTGACAGAATACATTAACGGCGGCAGCCTGGAGCAGCTGATCATGTCGCGGCACACGCCGTTACCGCACCTCGTCCGGATGAATCTAGCGAAAGACGTGGCTCGCGGTATGGCCTATCTACATAGCCGCGGGATCTTCCACCGCGATCTCACGTCGAAGAACGTGCTGATCAAGAAGGACGAGTGCAATAACGAAATGACCGCAGTGGTGGGCGATTTCGGACTGGCTGCAAAGATACCCGATCCCAGCACAGGCTATCGACTCAGCACAGTCGGTAGTCCTTACTGGATGTCGCCCGAGTGCCTCAAAGGTCAATGGTACGACCACAGATCCGACGTATTCTCCTTCGGCATCGTCGTATGCGAGCTGATCGGCCGGGTGCCCGCGGATCCGGACGTTCTGCCACGCTCAGATAACTTTGGCCTCGATTACCTAGCCGTGGCGGAGATCTGCGCGGCTGCCGATCCGCCGCCTGCTTTCCTCCAACTCGCCTTCAATTGCTGCACGGTGAGTATGATGATATCTAACTGTAAAGGCATGCAACGCGCGGATTCGGTGCGAATGGCCATGGAGATTGGTATAGCTGTTACCAGATTGGAGTACGATGTACGCACGCATGCACTCACGATGAGAAATATTTGATGCGCATATTTATTAAATATTCAATTTCTTTTATTGATTAAATTTGTTTAATTTATGAATCCGAATTGTAAATGGTGCTATCGTTTATTTGCAGTACGAACCTAAGTCCAGGCCAACCTTTCCGGAAATTACGACTAGCTTGGAAACTATGATAGCAGCCTGTGAAGAGGAACTGAAGAATAACATCGGTAAACGGCAGTCAACCGTTGATCCAACGCTGATGTCCAGCATGGACGAGATTGCACGGGAAGGACGCACGACGAAGCGGCGTACCGCAAAACTCAGAAGCCAATCGGCGGACGCGAGAGGTTGCGATAACGCGACGCCATCGGATAAGGCAAGATGTCATTCTGCCAGGCGAGTGGCTGAACTCGCCAGCCGTCGAGATCCGCATTACAGGCCGATGACGGCGAATCCATTTCACGCATTGGGCGGCGTTAAGAAGATCCTTGGCGATCTGTTCTCCAGCTGTTTAGAGCTGCCCTCTTCGGAGGACGTGCGACCCAGTATCACCGACAGCACGTGCAGCAAGTTCAAGCCGGCGCAAAACGATAGTATTGCCAAGATTCTGGACAGAAAGAAGCCAAATTCCGAACCGAGCAGTCCTACTGCCAGAAAGAAATGGGAGAGAAAGGTAGGTGCACAGATTCAGCATAAATGATTAAGTATGGGATAGGGGCTATTCCATTAGTTTTAACCTTAAAATATAATATAAAATTTACGGCAGCTAACAATATTTCTCTCTTTACAGTGACATGCATACAATGATAATGTCTTATACAATCATGGTTGCTTCTTAAGAATACAAAAACATGATTATATCAAATGTTCAGTATGTATGCTATTCAGAAACATAAATATTATCGTGAGAAAGGGACGAAAAAACTTTACACTATCTCTTTAAAACATAAGCTATTAAGAGCATAAATGAATATGTATATTGTTTTAAAGATATTTGTATGATTCATATCATACATGTTTAGAGTTCCGATTATTGCGTTTGAAGATATATGTTTTAATCATGTTTACTAACACATGTACCACACGTGTGTTTTTAGGTCGCTACCAAGGTGGGTGTCGCAAGTTTGTTCGCCCATCCGCTCTTCCGAGATGGTTGGGAGCCGCGAAGACGTGGCAGCTGCGAATCAGGCTTCTGGAGTTGCGTCGGCGAAGACCTGAGTCCAGAGCCTCCAAATCGACGGCACACGTCGACTCTCAGCAGCTCGGCAGCAAGCAGTCTGTTCCTGCTGGATGACCATCGAACCAGTTCAATCTACACAGACTCCTCCGAGGACATTGCCAGCTTAGGCGGTGGCGATTCTTGCTGGGAGGATCGACTGAATGGCATTGGCTCGTCAAGCAAGACCATCTCGAAAATTGTCGAATACTTTGAGAGGAAGCAAGCGGGTAGACTCGGTGATCACGGCGACACTGCTGGTCCTAGTCGCCTGACTCTGCTACGGGCCAGTCTAGAAGGGCCCGTTCCCATCAGCAGCATCTCAGCCGCGCAACGGCTAGTCGTGTGCGAAGGTGCCGTGCGCAGTAAACTTGCGTTATTTGACAAAAAGTGATATTACGCCTGAGGCTCTTGGCAATTTCTTATTATTTCCTTTTGATAAGCAGCGCCCGCGTGAAAAGAACCGTATATAATGAAACGCGATACAGGTCCCGAAGAGAGTTCGACAGAGGCTCGTTATCATATGCCGGTGACGGCGAAAATTCTGGGACATTACACGATAATTAGCGTGTTTCTTACATATAGTTGAAGAGTGAAGAATGTATGTTGTCTTAATGATAGTAGGAATCGGTCTTCTTGCGCATAAAAGATTTGGGGCGGATAAAAAGGGCGATTATACAGTATCGGCGCGTCATTCGTAATTTGTAGACAGGATAGCTGATAACACGCATGCGACGCATGCTTACAGACACTTCTCTAAAAACCTAGTAACCTGACTGTGATGTTTTTTGATAATCTACATACATACATACATTATTGAACTATAACGACTGAAATTTGACGGAGCCATCAACACAGGATCTTTTATACGCAACACGAGTCGCGTTTCATGTAACTTGGCTACAACGATGCGCCATTCGAAAAAGATAAAGAAGTAAGGAGGGGAGAACGAAGCAATAGCGAATTTTGTCAAAAAACTGCGTTTCTAGATTAGCGCCGAAGGTAGCGCTAATCAATTATTGCCCCGCGATTGACATATTTTGCAGTGCCTCGCAGTTCCTAGTAGCCATCTCCGTCCTTATGCACGAACCATGGGTATTACCGATCATTGTAAGGGTAGCTATACAGATCGACGACAAATAAGGGCGCATGACTTTTTTTATTTAAGTCGAATAGGCGGATTGCCAGGCTAAAAGTTCTTATCTCGCCATTCTTAATTTTTCGATTGATAACTTTATCGAATTGTGTTGTATTTTTTTCCTTCTAATGTGTTATTAACAATCCTATCAATTTTTAATTTTTATTTTTGTACCTAAGGATTCGCTGGCCTGTTACTGCAGTCGTATTTATTTTTCCTGTTTATATTAAAATAAATTAAATTTTGTTTATATACAACTATTTATATTAAAATTTTGAAATTTCTTTTTAATCAAATGAAATAATAGCTATAAATCTTAATTAATTTATATTAACTAATCGTCATAAAGTTTGATATGAATACAGATCTTGTTGCAATATGTAGTTATTTATCAGACGAGAAAACATTTATTTTATTGAAATTTATTCTATTGAATGACGATAGTACAGAAACTTATGCGATATAAGAAAAAAATTTGTTTAACTTTTTTCCTAATATCATTATTTAGCATGCTGCAGTGAGAGGTCAAGAGAGGACCCTTAAGTTCTACATCTACAGAGGCCTACGTCGCGTTTGCGAAATTCTTATTTTGTCTTTGACGTACTGACGTCGACACAGCGCGAAGTTCATCGACGTTAGTACGTGCTTTTTCAGCGATTCGCAATTTCGCGTATCATGGCGTGTTAATAGCTCGGGATACAAAGTGCCGGATATGTAACGGTAATGCATATATACATATATATATTTTTTTGTTGGCAGAGGTACACCGTGTCCTGGATATTCTTGTTGACGTGTTGCGCGTATAGCCGAGAGAGTTTCTTCACTTTGAAAAGAGAATATATGAAACTGATCTAGTCAGTGTATTAATGTGGCGGCCTTATCTTTTGTACGTTGTAGCGCTAAAACTTGTAGTATTTAAAGTTGAAATAGCGAGCGTGAAATGAGCGCGAGATGAAATCGGGCGTCCTGCTTACGCCTGATGGTCTTCTCCCTTTTTGTTTTTGAACGTCGGTATATTTATATACAATGGAAAAGAGAGTGAGACTGAGAACGTACGAGATAGGGTGAATGATGGTGTCTGCCGCACCGGTGTGTATGCGTACATGTATGTATGCGTATGTGTGCGTTATAGAAAGAAAGTGTACACGTCCAAAAACGATATCTATGTAGGTAGCTACGACTTTCACATATATAACGTGAATCGTTTTGTCGCTCAGACAGCGAGTCGAACCAAATCTACAATCGTAGAGTGATAGACTAATGTGACGATACCTTTTTACTTGTCGAAGTTCGCTCACGGGTTTACTCCATAAGACTGTGCGTTTGTTATGTAATAGGTCGTATTGTAAAATAGAGATGCTCGAAATCGCGTCAACGATATTCGCAGTCTCTTCTTCCTCGTGTACAATAGGATGCGCGCTGTGTGTCTTTGCGTTTCTTTTTTTTTCTTTTTTTTTCTTTTAATTTTCGCTCGTCGAATCGGGGCCTTCTTTTTCTCCTCGATGCGTCAATCGGTACCTGAATAATCGAAGCGAGGGAAGGACTGCGAACGAGTTAGTTCTTAAGCATGCGGACATATCAGGAATATGGGCATATCCTGAGGTTCAACCTGATTGATAAAGGGCAATAAATGCGTGGTTTACGGTGTGATGGAGGGATATATGTTGCGAATGTGAGTGCGTGAATGAGAAGGGAAAGAAAGAGATCGAGAGAGAGAGAATATGAAAGCGGAGTTAGTGGACCGAGAGGCGCATTTTTAAAAAAGAAAGATATGGGTTATTTATTTTAAGTAAAAACAGTTATATTAAAGATTATATATCTATATATAAATCTACGCAAACGTCGTCTCTTCCATACTTTTCAACTGTTATCTAGAATCTACGACTGCTGTTGTAGTCCTGTATCTTCTAGTTCTTTATATTATTATACTATAACACCCGATTCTCTCGTGATCAATGATCACTACTCATAAATTGGGCATAAATAAGCGTGGAAAAGAAAAAATTAATGGCAGCGATGACGGATGATAATAATAGTTATGATTAATAGTAAAAGGCGAAGCTATATATATGTGTGTTGTGTATATATATATATATATAGCTATGTAAAAAATTCCTATATATATACAAAGGTAATAAAGTTAAGGGCTCCCAATTTTTATGAAAAAAAAGGAAAGTTATTAAAGATTTTTTTTAAAGTCATCAAGTCTTAACAATGCTAATGACCAAAGGAAAAATTAGCGATTTTTTTCTACAGTTTTAACACAATTAACAAAATAGATTATACCGTGGTAAGAATGTAAAACAATATAATTAAGAAGGCATACACCACGAACGCCAGATGTGGTTGGCTTTGAAATTTGTATTTGAAATATTATAATAAAATAGACGAGGATATAACGTTTTTGACGCTGAGCACAATCACATTGACTCTAGGTCCTGGATTGCTGTGTATTTTATCGTTCAACGCAGAAATTGGAACTTTTGCGTTGTATTGATGTTGAGCAAAGTGTGCATTTATTGGCTTTAGTTCACTTATCGGGATCCGATAGATAATCTGAATTGTGTACGGAACATCGTTGCGTCTATCAAAAAAATCAAATCTATTACTGAACGTTATAAAATCCTCCGCTGACAACGTATAGAATTTATATTCGTAATTTTTTAAATTTACTTATATGCGTAATAATTTATTTCCGACAATGTTTGTAATGCTGAGGAAGGTCTAATTTAAGACCGAAACGTCTATTTTATTGTAATATTTCAAATACAAATATTTAAGCCATCCACATCTGGCGTTCGTGGCGTATGCCTTCTTAATTATATTGTTTAACACAATTATTTTTATGAACTCGTTAAGAAAAAGCACTTGTTTGTCAATGAGACAACATACACGGCAACTATTATAAGGCACGATATTTTATTTTACCAAAAATTACATTTATCTTTTTATTTTATATCTAATATCATCATTATATAAGAAATAGCGCGTTTAATTTTGAGGCAAGCGATAAGAAGAATCTGAACACTGATTTTAAATCACATTATTTCTCATCACAGACTGTTGTACCCTTCGCAACAAAATTAATTTCAAAATTTACTTTGAAAAAGATTTATAAATCAAATTTTCCGACTTAGAAATAAAGTTGCCGATAAAAAATCACTCTTGTAGTACAAGTTATAATTTTTTAATAATTTGAATCAAGCAATATTGGGAATTCGCGATTTTGTTCATTCCCAAAACAACAGATAGTTTTCCTTAGATTTTTAGAAATCCGAACCATGGAAACATTCTTATCTGATTAAAACAATCCTAAGTTACTTATCTTTCGTTCACTAACATGATGCCGATAATCCCATAAGTTTCTGAGTTTTTGATGTTTTTACAATGTATATAAACAAGGAGACGACCTTATAGAAATAAATTCCGAATTTTACTGAAGAAATATAAAGTTTGTTTTCCAATCTTAATAGATAATGTCAAATAAGGTGCTTTAGAAGATATGATCTTGCATTTTGCGAATATTTTAATTAAAAAAAAACTTGAGTCTCATTTTTAAATTATTCTTTAGTATACGTAATATTAACGATCCCTTTCGAACATCGGATAGGCTCTGCCCATATCTTCTTCTGGAATCAGTGGTATATATCTCGTTCGAGGATCATTTTTTCGCTCGTAAGCGTATGGGAACATCATCGTGGGATGTATTATTGTTCTGGCACTTTTTGTTGTCTTGTATCGCGGAATCTTCTGGATATGCGTGGCAACCGTCGTAGAACTCGAAACATCGTTAATGTCAGTCAACGAAGACAGGTCGCTGGTCGTCTCCTCGAAGTCAATTAGAGGTATGAATTTCCTCTCATACGTGTTTGTAATCGTGGCTTCCTTTGTCGTCTCGTCGATGATACTACCTTCGACAGATTTTCGCGAATTGTCGACGGTATCGATCTTCATCGTCGGGATTGTCGTCGCCACCGTTTCCTCACTCGACGTCGCAATTCGCGCGGTCGTCGAAATAGCGTCGCTCTTGACCGTGATTGGAATCCAGTCGTTGTCAGACTTGACTTCAGTTTCCACATTTGCATTGGCTTTTTGCGAGATCCAGTCATGACTGTGATCGAGCGACCAGTCCAGCGATCGCGAAACGTTTGAGTCCCTTCGCGACGAAGAATTCTTCAAAGTTGATTCACCAATCGGTTCACCAATTGGCTGCCAATCGGTATCCTTGCTCGCTGCTTTCGTCTCGAGACCGGTGGAATTAGAGCTGGCTGTCTTCTCCGGATACACAGCCTCGACTATCATCGGCGATTCCTCAGCTCTCGATACAGTATGCTCGTTCTTGTTCTTCTCCGTTTGAGCACTCGAGGTGGACTCCTCATAACGTTTATCGTCGAGGTCGAACGACTTCTCGGACTTGCGCTGGCCGATTTCCACCCGCAGGATTTGATCTCCGTTCCATGGTCGACTAGTCGTCCTACTGATCTCTGCAGTGTTATCGACGCTTCTTGGACGCACTATATCACTCAAAAGAGGGAAATACTTTGGCTCTTCGTGCCGTATACCGGTCACAAAACTTGGTGTGTACTGTGAGATCAGGGGCAGCAGAGTTTGTCGGGCGTATCGTTCCGCTTGCGCCAGGATACTAGCCAATCGCTCAGGTAGAAACTGCACGGTGAACGCTCTCGTGGAGGTCGACGACGTCTCCTGTATTTCGTCGTGTTGTTTCTCGTGTGATACCACCTCGTTCCGCATGTTGTGCCTGGTAGTGCGTGGATGCAGAATCGGTTCCGTAATCTCGGGCAGCTTGAGCGATCGACCGGCGTCTTTCTTACTCGGACGCAACACCGGTTCTCTGATCTCCGACAAGTACTCCGTAGTAGTCGCGACAGTGGTCACGGTGGTCTCAGCAACACGCTCCGACGCTGTCGAGGCATGATAGATCAGGTTCGTGGCGCCGGAAAAGCTCCGTCCTTGCTCTGACTCTGCGTTCTCCAGCGAGTTTGAGTCGCCGTCACCGGATATGTCCAGGACGATCCACGGGTTCGCGACGTTGCGCCGCTTCTCTGGATCTTCGAAGGTTGTCGCCGTCTCGACCTCGGAGACGCGTCGATTCTGCTCCTTCGTGAACGGACCGAGATTTCGCCTCTGCGACGTTCTCTCTGTCGGCAGAATCTCCACGGAGTAT